ATACAATATATATATATATATATATATATATATATATATATATACATATATATTCTCACATATAATGTTCTCTCTCCCCCAGCTATTCGGGTTTCTAAATCCGCACCTTCTGATACGGGTAGGGTTCTCGGTCGATCCGTTGTGCGCGTCAAAAATGCGTAGCAAGATAGTCGTGAATTGACATATCGTGACAGCTGTCACTGCCCGTCAGTCCGTATGATATCTGTGTCCATGGAAGGAGAAAGGGATTGACATGCTGAGAATGAGAAACTCTATGACAGATCACGGATGTGCCTAATTATTCATTGAGAAGCAATTGAGTGTAAAGCAAGCTTAACATAAAGCGCACGACAAGAACAGGAGCGGAAAACTACAACAATATAACATATCAGCTATTACGGGAAAAATTGACAGGGATTCTGTTGCCGAAGACTCAGCTCATATAAAACATCGGCACTTAGACAAGTGTATGTCCTCTGACATTTAGGGAGCAAGAAGGCGGCGCCAATGCATGAAAAATGAAAATCGATTATTGCGCTTCCAGTAGATTTGTTATGCAAACGAGAACCCGGCCGGTTATCCCATTTGCGCCCATTTGCGCATTAACACGCAGAAATGATTAGCTCGCCGAAACGCCTCTTAATTATTCAAAGACTTGTAATTAAGTCAATAATGAAATAAGATAATGAATAATATAGCTTCCCGGTAGTAATGGTTGGCGCGTGTCACTTTACCACCAGTGAATGTGTTCTAAGAAACGATAGACCCTTTAATTTGTCGATCCTACAGGGAAGGCTGGAAGCGGTGCACGGTTACAGCGCCATCATGAGATGCTAGCCTGGCAGGTTCGGCTTGTGACGAGAAAAAAAACGGATGGGAAATAGGCCATGCCGTGAGTGCGACATATGGGCTGTCGAGCAACAATAGGGAGATATGTGATTGCGCGCAGATGTACGTGGGGAACGTGGGTTCATAAGCGTTCTGCACATCATGGCGGTAAACGGCAATGGACGGACAATTACCGCGATGCAGCAGTCAGTAACAAAGAAAAAGTTAAGTGCACACTTAACCTTAGCCGTACGCCCATCACTCCTGTCTATCCACCCGCCGTTAGCTCGATGCAACCTTTTACGATGCAAATTAAATCAATAGCTTTTCCACCGTGCACACGAGCGGTGTTAGGGAGGCTGGATGCGGACATTAATGAGCACACTAGCGTCAAGTAATTGGTTTAGTTTGCTTTCTAGCTATTCTATATCAGCAATTAGAAGTAAAACACCCGCACCGAGCTGTCAACTATACAGTAAGTGAGGAAGCCAATGGCATGAAACGATTCTGTGTTCGCACGACATAGACGTTGGATTTTAAAATAACTACAACTTATGACACATTTTAGTTTGGTGCTAGAATCAACACGAAAACAGTTATTTTAATTGTGACTTTTTTATTATAAACATTTTTCATATAAACTATTTAGAACTACCATCTCTACAGTTATAATTCAATCAGCGACTAAACAATTATTTTCTGAGAAATATACACCCGATCACGATATTAATTATTAAAATTAAATGAACTTCATCATTGATTTTTACAGTACGGTTGCTCGGGGTGGTATCAACGTGAATTTTGCCATGCAAAGCACAGGTGATTACTGCGCGGGTGCACTACTAGGTTAACAGACACTTGTATAACTCATAATGCAGCCGTCACGCTAAAGGACAATTCAACAGCAGATACATACATTAGCTGCATCTACACGACGAACCTAAACTCGAGTTAGCTTAACCTCCACGATAGGCGGCAGCACTAGTACGATGTACGTACACACGCGCGCCCGCATCGCTATCGGGTGTTGTCGTGTAGACGCTACATAACCGCTAACTCGAGTTAGCTTAACTCGAGTTAAGGTTCGTCGTGTAGACGCTACATAACCGCTAACTCGAGTTAGCGCTTAACTCGAGTTAAGGTTCGTCGTGTAGACGCTACATAACCGCTAACTCGAGTTAGCTTAACTCGAGTTAAGGTTCGTCGTGTAGACGTAGCTATTGATCTATTCTACTCGTTTTCGACATGTTTCCATTCAATTCTCGCTACTCTGCTGTGTTGTGGCATTTGAGACCACTTACCACCAGCATTCAGAACGTGATATTGCTCTTCAATGAAGACAGCTTAACATTTACAAGTGCCACAAGTGTTTGTGAATAATGCATGTCAAATAAACACCACCGACACGCAAGGTGATAACGAACTTTATCAGATGCAAATCGATAAAAACGTTTACACTTGCCAATGAAGACTACCGATGAAAACTCACTCTTTGCTATTGCTTCACCGGGCAAAACAATCCTCACCACTTACTGTTGAGAGTGATTTCCAACGCAAGTCAATGGCTGCTAAACACTAAATTAATTTTCATTGATTTTTAGGCGAGAATTTTTTATTTTGTTGGTTTACAGATCCGCCGACCCGAATTTTCAAGAAAAACGAAAAAAAATAAAAATTGAAAATCTGTATTTTTTTATTCCCGCCGACCTTTTCTCTAAAAAAATAAATTAAAAAAATTTAAATGTAAAAAAAACATTTCATAAACAAACAGTTTATAATAAAAGTAAAAATAATTACAAGTTGAGATTTGTTTTCATTTAGTTTTCTTAAAATACTTTAATATCATGTATAACAGTATCACTGTATTTTGACTTGTTTGATCTGACAAAACAACTCTTTTTTTTTACCCTACCGAGTCAACAACAACAAATATAATTTTGTAAACCAACAAAATAAAAAATGGTAGCCTTACATTGACATGGCGCAAAATATTTAGTAGGATCAGGTACACAGGGACCAGGTTAGGGCCCACCTCCTTCCATGGCAACAGCATGTTGTGCTTTCACATAGTAAACTCCGTCGGCATAGAAACCTCTGAGGCGCATGAAATCTGGCCTGCCAAATATGTCTTGGGCGGTGGGCGATTCAACCAACGTTTTCACCACCTGATTGCAACAGTAAGAAGAGCTTTAGAAGACATCACAAACCTCCTCTGTGCGCATCAGAGCGACAATGATGACAAAGGATAGAACTGAACAGATAGCAATTCTACCTCGAATTTTGCATCTCTTCCTTCCTTTCTGGTCTCCGTGTGGCGATCAAGTATGTATTCTAGTAAACCAGCTTCGTTGTAGATTGCCTTTTGGCCCCATGGCTGCAAGGCAATGGCTGCTATCACTGCCAATGAACCGCAATGAAGGTCTACAAATGGTTGTTGAGCGATCCTCGTGAAGACCTCTAGAGGGCGCTCAAACAGCTTGCTGAACCACGCTTCAGTTAAAGCGAGGAGTTCGTCTGTTTGGCAGGAAACCTGGGGCCCGTTGCCAGAAACAAAATTAGTCTTAACATTAGTCTTAACATTAACGTTGATTGCTAGACTGTTGACAGAAACATTGTGAGGTTACGAGAATGAAAAATCCCAGCAAATTTCCTCTTAACATTACGAGATCCGAGACCCTTTCATTATTACACAAAGAATTTCAATTATAGTGATATTACATTTTATATTAATTAGTAAAACACGTGTTTTTCATGGAAAACATGTCAGAAACAATACTTATCTACCAATCATGAGGCAAAACAACGTATACAAGTTGAATTTGTTCTCTTGTATTGGATATTTTTATGAGCCATCACACTCGCATTTTGTGTTGCCGGGCAGAATAAAAACATGGTCATGTCATGTTTTTATTGGTTATTATTTATATGTGGATAACCATCATAATATGCATAAATTACTGTCATGTACAATAAATGTGTACGAATTTGAATTTTGTGATTGATTCTCATCCAATCAACAGCCTTGTGAAAGCAAGTTCATCTTATCGTAAGTTTTCTCATAGCTGTGATGCGTTTCTGTCAATGTGCTATTCTCGTAGCATTAACATTAGTCGTAAATGCTATCTTAGCATTGACACTAGTATTAACTTACAATATTTCTGACAATGGGCTCCTGGTGAGTAGAATATTAAATATCAAAATAATGTTGGTGAACACACAACCTCTTTGAAGCTTTCATAGCTAAACACATTGACCACAACATTTCAAGATGATGTCAGAATTAATAGATGATGAAGCTACCTGCAGAAATATGTTAATCAAATAGCATTTAGACATTTTGTCTGATAATGACCTGCTTTTATGTGGTAGCCTATATGTGTTGATCAAAAGATTTTATCTCATACCCAAATATGTTTACCCGTTACATTACTATGTTTACCTGGAGGGTCAGTAGGGTGCAAACAGAGTGGATTGCACGGAGCCGCATGTTAGATGGCGAATCCTTAATAATCGTGCCTAATATTTTCAGTGCTCGATCAATCAGCTGGCCTAAAAACAACGTCATTACAATCAAACTCTTCACATACATATACATACATTATAAACTTACAAATTACCAAAGCACTATAATCTTAAAACGTGTGATATCACATTAATAGGATTCTGATGCACAGTTTGATTCAAGCACAAAAACAAAATGATATTGTATCAAAACCTGTTACATGTACATGCCATTGTACCAACCGAGTTTTGTAATGTGCACCAATAAACACTCTTAATAACACAAACTTAATAATCGTGCATTAAATTAATTAATTACTATAATTTAATAATCTTGTGAATTAGTAGAATAAAATTGATAATATGCTTGTACCTTGTTTATCTAATGACAACTTGCCCTCGGCGGTAGAACCTATGACTCCTAATGTGTCCACAGCTATGCCCTGGATTGTGAGATTGCAGGATTCTAAGTTCGTGAACAGCACATTGACAAATACTTGGTGCCGGCTGCAAATCTCCTTTGGGTTATGATGAGCGACATTACCAAAGAATTTGATCAGACCTGAAACATATCAATCACGCACTGAAAACATTACAATACATATCACAGAGAGCGTAGGGGTCGCCACATATGCACTTACTCACCTGGCAGGAGATATGTTGACAGCAGATTGGCATCTATGCTGTCTAACATGTGAGCCAGGGTCTTCAACACACCCTGCTGCTCAAGGAAGGATAGACCATACTCGGTGAGTGCAAGATCTGAGAGAAGGTCGAGGGCATTCAGCTGTAGTAGGACGTCCCCATTCTCAATCTCTCCGATGAGCTGTGCTAGGGCGCCTGTCTGTGCTGCCTGTACCAGCCCATCAGCACTAAATGAAGCTACTCTCACAATCACCTGCAATAGCAGCAGTTGCTCTAATGCTTTGCAGAATCAAACAACCGCCCGTGTGTAAGCATAACGAACATACCCACACACAAAATATGATAACAGTGCAATAAATAGGCAATGTTCTAGATACTTTCAAGGTGGAGTGAGAAATTTTAACTATTATTAGGAGCTGGGTTATGCAAAGCACTATGAGGAGAAAGTCTTAGGATTGCACAAACCTCGTAAACACGGAACTTTGCCGTGTCACTGGCCTTCATAACGGCCTGCATGTGGGGAAAAGTATTAGTAGAGAACAGTATGTTTCTGCCATTTTGACTCTCTGCTAGTTTCAGCAATGCCTGTTTTGAGAGGGCAGTCACGTTGACATCATCATCTGCCAGCAGCTGTACAGTTTTTGTGAGGATATCTATCCTTCTGGTGAGCTCCTGGACTGCAGAGCCATCAGAAAGACAGTGGGCTATCTGAAACAATTATCATGCTGAATTTAAGATACATGTGAAAAACACTCTCTTGCAGAAGTCCAGAAGTTGCAGAAGAACTTTGCTACAATTTTGCAGTTAGAAATTACAAAGTGAATCGTATATAATGCTGCTTGAAGGCTTCACATGCTTGCATACATATGAAATTATATACCAAAATTTAACCACTCAAAATTACATGGTGCATTTCATGCCGAACATTTGAGCTTTAAATTGAGTTATTGCTTTGGTCTTACCTGTACTAATAACATTTGTCTCACATCAGCACTGGGATGAGACAATGCCCGCAGCAAATGATCATCGAAACGTTGTAACATCAAAATAGGAGGTAGTACTTGTAGCAACCTCTCTAGCAGATCACATGTCAGTTCGATTTGTTCACTGAAGTAAATGCAAACAATGTTTAGAACAATTTTAATATTAACAATTTTAACAACAAATTTCAATATGTCAAAGGCACTCTACCCATTTTGCACCACTGAGACTGGGGTAGATATAATAAATTGCTTGTTCTATTATTTGGGCACCTAAGCCAATACTATGAATTGCAACAGCAATACAGTCTGCTCTTGGTCAAATGGATATTGGAAACCCCATATAGTGCGTTCGATTTGCTTCCCCAAGTTAACCTGGGTCTACTCGGACCAGCCCCAAATACGTTCGATTTGGCAGTCACGTGGTATTTTTTCTTATCTGGGTCAACCCGGGTGAAATATATACATATATATTCACCAGTATAAACACACCCATGATATGCACGAACGCGAATGTGTGCCGTGGGTGTCTAGGATTCCCAGTCCCGGAAGCATATAGCGGAAAGAAATCCATACCCATCTACATACGCATAACCCAAGACCGTTACAGGAAAAAAACCAGATGCCAAGTTCAATGTCTTCATCAGCGTCTATCCCTCTCAGCACCTCGCGCGCGCAGCGCTGGCCCTCCCATGTTATAAGCTGACGCCGCCGCCACTGACAAAGTGTTGATTAACTTGCCTGAGTATGTAATCCGCCTTGCAACATAATACAGTCCGTTAGTCGCTGCTTTCCCACTCTATCTCTCATTTTCATTTCCCCATTCGTATTCTGCCTCGCTTTTTCTCGTTCGCTCTCTCTCTCTCGATTTTTCATTCTCTCAATCTCACTCCGCCCATCTCTTTCTTTCTATATTTCTCTTTCTTTACGCACGTACGCACGCACGCACGCACGCGAGCGCGCGCAGACGGACGAACGAGATATATTATATATATATATATATATATATATATATATATATATATCGCTTTCTCTGTCTCCCCTTTCTTCCTCTTCACTCTCTCTCGCTCTCTTTCTCTGGCTTCCTTCTTCTCTTGTTCATTTCATTATTTAATTTTGATGTGTTTTTCTTCTATTTCATTGTTCATTTGTCTTCTCGCTCCCCGCGTGCGCGCTCTCACCCTCTTATTTTTCCTCTTTCGTTTTCTTCTCCTTTATCTTTTTCTCTTCCACACTCCCTCTCTCCTATCTCTTCTTTCTCTTCTGCTCGCTCTTTCGACGCACGCATGGCACTGGAGCGCCCATGCGTGTCCGGGGAGAGCCCGTAGCGCAGCAATTATATATATTACATTACATCTGTGCTGCAGAGATGGCTGGCTGCTTGACGGCCGCATAACTCGCGTGACTGGGTTAGCGTGCGCGCGTGTACGCGCACGCACGCACGCCCGCACGCAGCACACACGCACGCACGCACGCACGCGAGCGCGCGCGCAGACGGACGACCGAGACCGGCTTTATTTTTATCGCCAACAAAACGTACCAGGTTGCAACCCCCTCCCCCCCCATACACGCACACCACCACCGTCGGCTAAACAAGCATTCGCGTGTATTTTCGTCGACACAGAAACCACCGGTGTTTGATAAACGTTGTCCGACGCAGCCCCCGGCTCGCGTGCCAATTGACTTATTGTAGTCCGCCATTGTGCGCCGCTGTTTCTCCCGGCAACACGACGTGGATAAATCGAGTAATTGGCCGGAATATATAGAAGCCGGTGTGTGTGTGTGTGTGTGTGTGTGTGTGTGTGTGTGTGTGTGTGTGTGTGTGTGTGTGTGTGTGTGCGTGTGTGTGCATGTACGTATGTACTTATGCATGTATGTATATGTGTGAGTGCGTGGGTGCGTTATACCTAGAAAGTTTTAATTTGCATTGATGATAGCAAATAAATTGAGAAAATGTATTGTACATGGTGTGAACCATACTGGATTGCTTTAATAAACAGTAAACTGTAAACACAGCGACACTACACACTACACACTACACAGTAAAGTAGGTCGGCTGGCGGTACCCCGTATATAAGTGGTTAGAATTGGGCTGGGGTTATGGTGATGATAATGTAGCAGATGGTCAGAGCGTTGCCACAATCTGTGGTGCACGTACAGGGCTCCTAAAAATCACAGACCTGAGCCAGAGGCGTGTTCAGGAGAGCAAACGCTCAAATCGAACGCTCGCTGCACGGACGCAGCGCCTCTTGAACGAAACACGAGCGCTCGCTGTGCGCTCGCTTGATCAAAGATGGCGGCCCCCATGAAGTGTTACTCAGCAGATTTTAATCGCGAGATTTTAATTTCTTCGAACAAGTACTGTTAAACGAATTAGCAGACGAAATTGATACAAATTGAATTTAGACGTAAATGAATGAATGAAAAATGAAATAAAGTTGAAATAGATTGCAAATAGACGTCAGAAATGTTAGATTCGCATTCGCCAGATTTTTCGTCGCCATCTTGTAAACAACCCGCGCGCTGAGCGAACAGCGTTTGGAATTTGTGAGCGAGCGCTCGCTCGCGCAGTTTCGTTCAGAAGGCAAGCGCTCGCGAGTGTTCGGTCTTCTGAACACGCCTCTGGACTAGTAGTAGTATTTAACTGTATTTAACTGTCGCCGCCGCACGACTAGTACAAGACACTACAGGAATGCAGGACACTGATCCTATATTGATGTAATATTATATTTATATTGATGTAAATTACATTGGTTTTATTGGAACCCATGTTGTGTATCCTTGAACCGAAATGAGAATTAAATTTGTTTATTTTATTCACAGTGGCTATATGCCCGGCAGCCGGCGTATATCTGACGGCTGCCGAGCACGGTCTTCGATTTCCTAAATGCCCGGCAGTTTTTAATTTTTTGCGTTATCTCAAGTAAACAAGGGTTAGGGTTAGCTCCAAGAAACGGTATCGCTAGGGTTAGGACAATCCGTCGCACAGCCTGGTCGGGCTAGGGTTAGGGTTAGAAATAGGATTAGGGTTAGGGTTAGGGTTAGGTTTAGGGCTAGAGTTAGGGTTTTTGTTAGGTTTAGGGTTAGGGTTAGAGTTAGGGCTAGAGTTAGGGTTTTTGTTAGGTTTAGGGTTAGGGTTAGAGTTAGGGTTAAGAACTGCCGGGCATTTAGGAAAACGAAGACCGTGCCCAGCTGCCGGGCATATAGCCACAGCGTATTTTATTCGCAGTGGCTGGAGGTACGGTAGCCGTCGGTCGTTGAAGCCCCTTTTTGGCGTTAGGGTTAGGGTTAGGGTTAGGATTAGGGTTAGGGTTAGGTTTATGGTTAGGGTTAGGTTTAGGTTTAGGTTTAGGGTTAGAGTTCTAGCTCATCTAAACTCTCAAATCGTGAATTTATTTCCCAATGCGTTACTTCGAAATCTGGCGCCACCGCCGCCATCTTTGTCTCGTTAAGTATGAAAGCGAATGGACTCCCGTACCCGTAGCCTCGAGACATTAAGATACGGCTACCGTACCCGTAGCCACTGCCTATTTTATTACCTCGTACTTGCATTTAAGCAATCAAAAATAGCTTCAATGTTCAATTTTGGCACTATAATACGTAAGGAAGATGGAGGTATTAATGATAGCTCGGTTTTTAACTCTAATAGTGTATCACTTTGCACACTCTCTTCAAGACAAGAGCTATAATTATTTAACTTCGTAATTATACTGTCGAAATTCGTAGGCGCCGCCATGTTGGTGGCGCTAGCATCGGCGTTGGAACTCGAGCGCTGTTTTAAACTCATATTCTAGTTAATGGAATATTTATTGCTTAAAATGCAATATTGTACAGGAAAAATTTACTAATTAATTTATTGTACACAAATTTTAAAGTATGTATTTTTTTGGAATTGTTGCTATCTTTAATTTTTATCTCAAGGCGATTCGCAATGGCCGCCCCCATTCAGTGTATGTGATGTATCCCACGTTACAGGAAATCTAGAAAATCCATGGCGAAAGTGTTAATCTTGCCAGATGACAGTAAATTGTTCTGCGTTTCGCAGTGATCGCGTGTAAAGATATATTGTGAAATATATCAATATAATAGTATTAGTAATGGTAAGTTAAACTTGTCGTTTTAACGGTTAGTGACATAGTGTGTTACTGTACTCTGACTGTAGACTGTGTTAGTGTTAGTGTATAGCTCCAGTACGGTTCAAGGATAGAGAACATGGGTCCCATCAAAACCAATGTAATTTACATCAATATAAATATAATATTACATCAATATAATAGGTTAGGGTTAGGGTTAGGATTAGGGTTAGGGTTAGAGTTAGGGTTAGAATTAGGGTTAGGGTTACGTTTAGGCACATTGGTTTTATTGGGACCCATGTTCTCTATCCTTGGGCCTCTAGTACTAGTAGTGCTGAGAGGGTCTATGTCCCCAGGGGTACTGCCGGAACGTACCCTGGGTAGGGTCCGGTATACCTTGGTACTATCTAATATGCCGAACCGTACCTCGTCTACTCCACTAACGAGTCTAGGGAGTCGCCTACGCCTACTCGGTCAGTACTCCCTAACCCGAACCCGAACCCTAACCCTAATCGTAACCCTAACCCTAATCCTAACCCTAACCCTAATCCTAACCCTAACCATATCAAATAGTGACCAGGGTACGTTCCGGCAGTACCCTGGGGGACATAGACCCTATGAGCACTAGTAGTAGTACTATACTCAATAGCCCGCGTTCATTAACTGCCGCAGGCCTACGGCAGTTAATGAACGCGGGCTATACTACTAGAGCGATAGCCTGTAGTGTACAGTGACTGTACTCACAGAGTCACACTCAGGCACTTGGAGCGTTTCAATAAAATATAATGCTAAATAAATACGAAATCTATTAACTACCAAAGTCTTAATGTTTCTCTACTCTCTTTCACCTATTATTGCCGACAATTTGCTGTAAATGCCGTCCAAATGCTCATCTGTAACACACTGTCACACGCTGGCCGCCGCACGCTAGCTGCTGCATGCACACTGACACATAAATATATAGTCATAGACCTATATATAGGCTATAGTCAGGGGCGGCGCCAGGGTATTTTCTTAGGGGGGGCGAAACCGGGTCGAAACCAGGGGCGTGTACAGGAGCACGCGAAGGGGGGGGCTGGGGGGGTC